TTCACTAATGCTATGCATGGCCATTTCATTTGTCGCCGAGAATCAATTAGATTACACGATTTGAAAAATGGCAAAAAGGAAGGAAAATTCAAAAGGTGGGGCTGAGATGGAAAGTTAGTGTCCGAGTGGATCGAAGTCACGATAGCTCAAGTGGTAGAGCAGCGGCGGATTTAGCCGAAGGTCGTGGGTTCGGATCCCGCTCGTGACACCGACTTTTTTCTCTCAACCAAAGCCTTAATTAATTGAAAATAATTTATTTAGTCAATCGGACCACGAAACCTAATAGATTATTATTAATATTAATTCTTAATTCCGTAGGGTATTAATTTCTTTGTGATATCAACAGCCAAATTACAAACCTAACAAACAAGCATAAATATTCATGCAGTAAGTTTGACTAAGATTGTTTTTGACTTAAACGTAGTGCTTTCCTCGTGGAATCAGGGCTAATTAGTTATTTAAAATGATTTTATTGATAATAAACATAACTGTTCACATGTAATTAAAACATTCAAAAAATCGTTGCAACTATAAAATTATGTTAAAAGACAGCACTGTTAAAAAATATGAAAAAACAATGTTATAATTAAGAATGTTATTAAATTAAAAGAAATGAAACTAAAATAATTCAGGAACTCTCTGGATCAAAGTACGGTCTTGAAGAAAAAAGCCAATGCAGTTGTTACTAGAAAGCTTTTGATCTATTTTAACGTCATCATCAAGGCTTATATTAATTTCACATTATGAAAAAGTAGTTGTACAATTGATTTAATAATTGTTTTTCATAGTGTGAAATTAATGTACGTCCTGATGATGACCTTTAAATAGACCGAATTTGCTTTTTTCTTTAACACCATACTTTGTTAGTGAGGGAAAAAGTGTTCTATATTTATAACATTCAAAAGTGGTAGAGCAGCGGCGTATCCAGCCAAAGATCGTGGGTTCGAATCCCCCTCGTGCCATTAACTTTTTTATCTCAACTAAAAACCTTAATTAATTGAAATATATGAATTGGTCAAGCGGATCACTAAAATTAGTGAATTGCACAATGACTTGAACATCTCTTTAATTAAAGACATTAAGAGAAAAAAAATCATAAAAATGTCCAATCACTCTTTAATTTACACGTCCTGTATCTTAACTTCCGGTAACCTTGATTTTATTATTGTGTATAGTACTATCTCTGGATAGCTTCTCGATTTGAAAAAATGTTGTTTATATTTTTTGATATTACACTGTTGAGAAGGAAGGGAAATACATTTGCTAGTTATATTAGAGGGATTTAACGTATTCACATTACATAATTGTCAGGTTATTAAGCATTAATTGTCTTCGTCATAATTACTAGTATTGCAGCGTCTTAAATTTAAATATTTACTTTTTTTTAAATATTTGGCATACGAAATAAAACACACGAGACCACAAAGGAGATAATGGAAAATTACTGTGAATTGAATAATGTTTGATGTTAAACGAAGGGTTGTAGATGAAGGCTTAAAACGAAAACCGACTGTCATTGAAATTTGTTGAATGAAGCCGAATGAAAATTGAGTTAATATTAAAACAAGGGGGTCGGTTAAGAGGTTTGATTTTGGCAAAACTCGGTTTAAAGAGGTTGGCAAGCGTCTGTATCCCCATTCAGGAACAGATGCCGCGGGCGTAAAAACTGACGGTAATTTAGACCTACTTAGAACTTTTCTCTCTCTCGCTCAGCCCCTTACTTTCTTTTTCATCATAAATTACTTGAGGGAATAGTAGCGGTAGGTCGGGCACAACCGTCCCGACCGACACCCCCGTCCTTAAATTGATCTTTAAAATTCCAGAATGACACCGCGCTACATGAATGAATAAAAGAATGAGGCACCCCGTTAAAAGGAACTGTTGATTTTTTTTCCTTTATCATCACTAAGCTCTTTTCCTTCCCCTTTGGTAATTAATACGTTTTATCGGACGACGATTGTACCTTTTTCTTTTAATTTCTTTTTCTTCTTAAGTCTTACTGCTTATCGCGTAGGTTATCTAAAATTATCTAACAGCTTAATCAATTTTGATCTAAATAGTCATTTTATTAGTAATTTAATTAACTTTAATTAAGTAAACTGTTGTTAATTTTTCTACAACCATGAGAATTGTTATTTAAAACAATAAAAAAGCTATATAACTTCCATTCACCAATTGACCACCGCTCTTGGAAACTGGCATGACCCGGTTTATATATCTTTCTTTCATAAACTGCTCTCCTTTCAAAGCCTGGATAAGGTCGAATCCTTTGGATGTTACTAAAGGTCTTTTCGACCTCGTATGCTAAGTAAAGACTTGAATTACAAGTAGGGTAACATCTTTTGTGAGTTTTCCTCTTGAAGTCGCCGGGGTGATAAACCAGTTTGGTCCTTCGCGACAATTTTGATATATCTAACTACTTATTTTACAATCTTTTAATTACTTTGTGCTTCTCTCTCTCACTCTCACACACGCATGCTCACACTTTCTGTCTTTCTGTACCCTTTTGTTCTTTTTTTCCTTTTTTATCATTACATCGTATTTCCATTATTTTTTCAGTATTTATATCATAATTCTCTATCTTTCAATATTTAAGCTCTTTTCTCTCTCTCTCACTTTCTCTTTTCCTCTCTCACACACTCTCTCTCTTTCTCTCTCTCTCCCACGGAAAAATTTTGAACATTTGTTTACTGATTATGTGAGACTGGTGTACAAGTGCTACAATTGTATTTAAAAGGAAGACCGTTTGAAAAAAAAGCATGTTTAAAGACAGTGGAGACATTTAAAGAAACCAAAATTCTTTTTAAAATACCTTTATTCTTTGACTATAAAGAATAATAATATTCTATATATAATAATAATTGTCTCCCCCCCCCCTAGTCTTATTTTCCGCTTATAAATGAAACTCAGATATAGGAAATTACCGGGCTTTTTTAGTTTTTACTTCTCTCTCTCTCTCTCTCTTTCTTTCACTTCCGCACTTTCTCGCTCAATCTCACCATCTATGTTTCATTTTTTCTTTTTATTGTTCAATATTTTTTCTTCTCTCCTTCTCACTTATTTTCCAAATCAGTTTCTCTCTTTACTTCTAACTCTCCCACATATTATCTATATTTAGGTAGATTTTTTTACTTTTTTCTTCTCTCTCTCTCACCCAAGCTACCTTTATCAAACGTTGTTATATTTTTAACTCCTTTTTAACTTCTCATTCAATCTCTTTATTTATATATTTTTTTCTTTCATCTGTTATTTTTCCCTTTTTATTATTTCTTTTTATTTCTCACATTTGTTCTTCTATTTTGTCTTCTTTAATTTCTATTTTCCTGTAGTTGTGTTCTCTCTTTGTTTTTCGTATTTTTATCTATATATTTTTCATTCTCCCTTTTATTCTACTTGTTTAATTTTTTCTCATTCACTCACGTTCTCGCCTTCTCCCTTCTTTCTCTTTCTCCCTCTCTCTCATGGAGAAATTTTGAACATTTGGTTACTGATTGTGTGAGACTGGTGTACAAGTGCTACAATTGTATTTTAAAAGGAAGACCGTTAAAAAAAAGCTTGGTTAAAGACAATGGAGACATTTAAACAAACCAAAATAATTTTTTAAAATACTTTTATCACTTGATTATAAAGAATAATAATAAGCATTTTCTCCTCTAGTCTTATTTTCCGCTTATAAATTGAACTCAGATAAAGGAAATTACCGGGCTTTTTTACTTTTTACTTCTCTCTCTCTCTCGCACTCTCTCTTTCTCTCTATCTATCTATCTCTCTTTATCTCTCTCTCTCTCTCTCTCTCTCTCTCTCTCTCTTTCACTTTCTCACTTTCTTGCTCACTCTCACCATCTATGTTTCATTTTTCTTTTTATTGTTCAATATTTTTTCTTCTCTCCTTCTCACTTATTTTCTAAATCAGTTTCTCTCTTTATTTCTATCTCTCCCACATATATTTAGGTAGATTTTTTTACTTTTTTCTTCTCTCTCTCTCTCTCACCCAAGCTACCCTTATCAAACTTTGTTATATTTTTATCTCTTTTTTAACGTCTCATTCAATCTCTTTATTTATATATTTTTTTCTTTCATCTGTTATTTTTCCCTTTTTATTATTTCTTTTTATTTCTCACATTTGTTCTTCTATTTTGTCTTCTTTAATTTCTATTTTCCTGTCGTGGTGTTCTCTCTTTGTTTTTCGTATTTTTATCTATATATTTTTCATTCTCCCTTTTATTCTACTTGTTTAATTTTTCTCACTCACTCACGTTCTCGTCTTCTCCCCCCTTTCGCTCTCTCTCTTTCTCCCTCTCTCTCATGGAAAAATTTTGAACGTTTGGTTACTGAATATGTGAGACTGGTGTGCAAGTGCTACAATTAAATTTTAAAAGGGGGACCGTTTGAAAAAAAAAAAAATATGCTCGGTTAAAGATAATGGACTCATTTAAACAAGCCAAAGTAATTTTTTAAAATACCTTTATTCCTTGATAATAAAGAATAATAATATGCAGTTTCTCTCCTCCTCTTATTTTCCGCTTATAAATTGAATTTTGATATAAGAATTTACGGGGCTGAAGGGTGTCCGGGCGAAGGGAGGAAAACCAGAGTTTAAGACAATGCCGGTCCCGAACAAAAGGGTTGTACATAGAAAATTTTGATATATTTTTGGTTTTATTTTGCCAATATACAAATTTTTATGCTGGTAATATAATCATACAGTCCAAACAATTTAAATTGCGAAAAGACGAAACTCTTCTGATGAACCAGAACAGTGATGATGAGCATAGAAAATTAATCGGAAACGACCAAACTACAAGTTCCTAACGGAAAACTTGAATAAGTTGAAGAAATACTACTGTGATAGTTAACATCAATAGTGACTAGGTATCGGACGATGAAGAATATGGAAGGATATTACATAGGAAAATTGGTTACGGATTTTAATGGTACAATAAAACAATAAGTTTAGCAATTAGGCCATGAACTCACGATCATTTTAGATCATCAGACCTCATTGCTTTAGATTGTATTTCGTTACCTTACAAATTTTTTGACAAAAACAACAACAGATTAAATAACGACTTCAGCCCGAACGGGCCTGACAAATGAAAACTGTATGATGGTCACTGGGAAATAATGAGAAATCACCAAACTACAAGTTCATCACGAAATGCTAGACTGGTAAGAAATTGCAGAAAGACACAGGTACACATAGCAATATTAATCAGACAAGGTTATCAAACGGAAAAGAATGTGGAAATATTACGTCGTAACAAAATGGATCTTAATCTTAAAGATACAATAAAATGTTAAATTCCGCAATTGGGAATAGGACTTATGCATTTTATTTTGAATATTTTTTGTCGTCATTTCAGAGTACGAGTCTTCTTCTCTCTTCTTCTTGTTTATTAAGCAATTATTTCAGTTAGGTCTGTTATAAATAAACAAGGTTAATGGCAATTTATAATTTTTTCCCCTCTTATTTCACGTTTTTGGTCTGCATATCCTCGGTCCTTTGAAGTGCCAGACGTATTTCACCCTCTTGCCATCATCTGAAAACAAAATTGTTCAGTGAAAATAAAGAAATAAGGACAAAGTAGACTAACACAAATCAACATTTCACCCAACATGTAAACTTGATTGTTTTTTAATACTGGTTTTCTTTTAAAGTGCAAAATCAAAAATGGAAATATGTTTCATAAAATTGTAAAAACAGATAAAACAAACAAGTGTATAAAGTTCAATAAAATTCTAAATTGTTACGGTAAGCCAAAACGCCATGTCAAGGAGTAAAGAAGGATAATGCATTTGCTGAAATTTTAAAGAATCTTGCGTAAAAATTTTGACAAATTAGACAAAATTCTATGAAATATATTAAATAAATGTTGTTAGGAACCTTGTTTTAACTTCATAAGTCATTGATTGATAAGGATTGATCAAGTACATAGACTGTGAACAAGAAGTAAGGGCAATGAAGAACAACTTGAAAAACTACAAACTTTTTGTGAACTTTGTTAAACATAGATGTGAGTTCTGCCACTGCCATTGCCAAAAAACCCCCGTTGGAGCTTTGGGGTTTAACAAAGGCATCCACAAAAGTAACGACTAGGTCATTGTGACCGGATGAAAAAAGGTTTTAGACTACACCAACACGATGACGGTCATATCCGTCCGTGAAAAACTGTGTGACAGTAATATATTTTACGGTTGATGGATATTTTATTAAATTCTCATAATTTTTACTTTCCAATGTTAGTTATATAAACATAACTATTTTTATACCATAAGGTGTTAATACCAAACCACTTTTTTGGTGCATATTTTATATATGGAATGGTTTCTTTATTCATTTTTTTTATTTCATTTTATAAATTATTACATATAGCTGCAGTAAATAACAGTTCTAAATCTAACAAAATCTGTCCGTAACCACCTTACCCATCTCTAAATCTAACCGTACCCAATGTAACCTACCCCTTAACCTTTCCATATGCCTTCCTAATTTAACCCGCGCCCAGAAAAATCGATGACGCAGAAATGATAAAAAAATGTGTACCAATTCCAAAAATATAGCCATAATGAATTATTAATATTAACTTAAAGTTAAAAAGTGTGTTTATGGTGAATCAGTAGGATTTTTTCTCAGATGCCAGTGACCGGTAGTCTTATCAATCCTCTGAGTTAGCCCTCTACTCTAGTTAGCCAGTTTTTGATGAGTGTTGTTTTATGATAAACTTGTCATGTCTGGCAACTCTAAATTTGTCCACTTCTCTTTTGGTCTTTTTTTGGATCCATGAGATGTAGAATTCGGTGCTTCTTTTTTGCCATGGTTCAGTGTATGTTATCTTGGAGATCCTCCTTTCGCCAGTTTGTCGGCCTTTTCGTTACCCAAAATTCCTTTTTGTCCTGGTATCCAAGTTAGAATGAGATTGTTGGGTTTTCCTAGGCTTTGGAGATTTATGATGCATCCATTGACTATCGTAGATGTGATCATTTTACATGCTAATGCCTAATTTTGCTCGTTTTCGTGAGATCGGTAATAATATATAAAATTCCAACAATTTATAAATATCATATCAACCAAATAAATAGAAACATGACAATATACACATTTAAGCAAACTGTTAATAAATTAATATTTATTTATAAAATTCTAGAAGTTCTTCATACGTCTAAAAGTTCAAATGTGGTCTTTCGGTAAGATCGATAAGAATACTTAGTACAAAATTTGCCGATAAAGGCTAATTTTATCAAATTGGCAGCCAATTTCGATCAAATAAATATATACATGAAGGAATCGCCCCGGAATAAATAAATAAAAAGATATACCATCATGAAATTGGCAAGCCCACTGGTTGGAAAAATTGCTCATATTTTTGCACTCTAACGACTTACAGGTTTACCCTCATAAATAATTAAATAAAAATATTAAAGGGAAAAGGGCAACAATCGAAGACACAGATGATGTACAAACTAAGATTCTAGGGCACTCTCAACACGACACGCAAGAAGGGCACAATTACAGAGAAAACAAACACTTTGAGCCCTGAAGATGATCTCAATAAAGATCGAAATGTTGGCACGATAAAAAAAATGTTTTTCTAAAACCTACGTCACACCGAACCGCATCTCACGACCTCCAAATAATCATCAAGTAACGGTCACTAAACACACACACTCGTATTACACAATGTACCAAAAGGACAAAAATGAATACCTTTGAAAAGTGCGAAATATACAAATATAATTAATTTCAATTGAAGAAACTAATGAATAGAGAAAGTATAAATATTAAATGACAAAGAACCAACGATCAGCAGTTATCGTGCCAACATTAATATAGACAACCGCATTAGAACGGGTTCCAAATCGAATGAACGGATCGTAAATAAGTTCTATTACTAAATAAGTTAAAGTTTCATAAACTGATGAACCTATAAAAAGAATGATGTATTTTGAAAAACGCCTGGAATGTAATTTTTAAAGATTTGATTGTATAGTCGATTCAAAAGAAAATCACAAATTCTGAAACGTGAAATTGGCTCAATGTTAGTTTTTGATTTTAGCCACTAAATATATTAACTCAGAGAGAAATTTTAAAATGGAATTATACACAATATAATTCAATCTCAATAAACATAGACTACTCAGTATAAAGAAAACTTGTACATTTTGATGTACATTTAATTGGTCGAAGTNAAAGCCCAAGCCTTGAAGATGATTTCTCTAAAGATCGAAACGTTGGCACGATAAAGAAAATGTTTTTCTGAAACCTACATCACACCAGATCGCATCTCACGATTTCTGAATAACTAAGATTCTAGTTTAAAATTTATTAATATTTGGCATTTATAATGTACGAATTATATTACTATTGTAAACAATTAATACTTTTTAATATAAAACTATCGTGTTATTAAGGTCAATACACTTTAATTGATATAAAAAATTTGCTTGTCATTCCAGTTTTATAAACTAATTTTTAAAAAATATATATTGCTTTAACGGGGTTTGCAATAGCAGAGGTCATATCAAGTCTCGGGGTTCCGGTTTTTTTGAAAAAAACAAAACAACAACAACAACAACACACATTTGTAATATTGCTGCAGGGCTGCTGGATCCGAACCCAGGACCTTTACTTTACAGTGGTCAGTACCGTGTCAAGACCATCTAATTGTTTTGTTATAAAAAATATCAGGGTATTGACACTACATTTGAAACAAGGTCGAACTGTGATAAATATTTTAATCTTTAGCCGTCAAACGGCCTGAGAAGAATTAAAAAGAAATAAAGTAATTGGGAGAAAGGGGAACGTGATGAGGGAGGGCGTCGATATCTGTTGTTTTAGAGTCTGGGGATTGTTTAATGGCTCGTGGAGGGTCTCTTTTATTTTAATGACGACCGCCCTCCCTTCATTTCATCAGGGATCCCGGGATGATTCCCTTTAAGGCAATTTCAGCCCATAAAAATGCTTCATTCCGCCAAAGTAACAAGTGTCCTGTTTATAACGTCACTTAATTCCGTCAAAGTTGCCTCTTTGACTGGGAGTTATTGCCGCCAGCCAGCCCTCAAAAATCAATTTCTCACTTACTTAAATTGATGAAATATTCTTTCAGATCAGGGTTAGATGATACTTGTTGGAAAATAGCGTTTTCCGTTGGGGTCGGAATAATTGCAATTCCTCTTGAGATAAGTAAAAATTAATTTGTGACAATAATATTTATTTGATGTTATAAATATTGAACTCACTGCTCTTCTTTGACGATTCTACTGCAAATTTAATTTATTATTCAATTATTTAAATGAACGTAAATTAAAATATCAAGAAAGAAGTTTAAAAAATGGTATTAAAATAATGTTAGGAACTAAATAAAAGGAAATAAAAGTTCAAAAGAAAACACCCAAAAAATTTGACCAGAACACATTTCGTTGCGATTAAATCCGTTCAGAGCGATAAGTTGGATTTTGAGAAATTATAAAAAAGTTTTGTTAATTTTCAAGTAAAAGAATCTCTAATAAATTAATTATGGAATTTTTACTACTAGAAAAATACAGTTATTTTGTCGTTGACGTTTTTAAATTTTTAATTTAAAAATGAACGATTACGCATTTCTAAGCCCTGATGAAGGAGATTTAATAGACATTAAAGATATTGTCCAAGAAAATTGCTAGGAATGTAATACATTTTTAAAAGAACTTTTCTGATTTGTTTGTCTATATTCTAATTGCGAATAAAATAAATTACACTTTTGAAATTTAAATTAAGCGATAAAGATTTAAATTTATTTTAAAACCATATTTAAAAAAAAATACGATTTGTAATTCATAAAACAAAGTAAAGATATACCCATCGTCAATTAAGAAATATCGATTACTGTAGTGGAGTGTGAATGAATGTGTGAATGTAATTTATTAGCGTGAATGGAAAGACATACTACCAATTACCCAGAGGAATATCAAGTAATTTTGGGTAGTATTAACCCTAGCTAGACTATCATGTTTTTATCTTGGTTCTGTGTATTTATGTTTGTTATTTGTGTAATTTTATCCAAAATTGACGAATCCCTAAGGTACAAAGAGACTAAAGGATAAAGAAAAGGGAGAATAGATTACCGTTATATCATACATCAAAACTTATCTAGAGAACAGGAAAAGAAATTAGTAGATATCAAACGCGAAAAAGATAAGAAAAGAAAAGCAAAGCTAAATAAGAAAGGGCTGGCGATGAGCAATGAAGTTTGCCGGCTCTAAAACTACAAAAAAAAATGATTAAGAAATCAAAACAATGTTGTTAAAATTTTTGAAAATTGAACCAAGAAAACAACTGTCTGAAATGAAATAATTATTTCATTTATTATAGTAGGTTTTATGTATAAAAAAAATCAATAGTTTACAAATAAGAGATAGATACCAGACTTAGAGTGATTAAATATATTCATTATCCAATACAAAAGCTTCTATCTTCAAAATGACGTTACTGATCTTAATTTCTCTTAAGAAAATCTTTAATTAATTAAAATTCTACAAAAACGGCTATACATTTTGTATCAGC